AGTTCAGACATGCAGCTGGAGCCCTCGCCCAGGACAAAGCATGCTTGGGGGCAAGAGACAATGAGAGAGAGATGAAAAAAGAGAGAAGCAGGAGAATTAGAGTGAGAAAATGGTGTTTTTTCTGTGTAATTCTGTATAACTCAAGGTTTTGCGAATGTTTTACATTTGCTGCATTTTAGGTTTTTGTAATTGGTACAGTCTCTTTGTTCATGAGGGTCAGGGTGTGTGTGTGTGCAATACAGAGACAGCGAGCGAGAGAAGTGGTGAATTCAGTTTCCTTTTGTGTCTACTTTAAGCTCTAACACCTGTTCAACCACAAGTTTTATGTCCTTTGATGCATGGAAAAAAGCACAGCGAAACTCAATAATTATCCATTTGATGAAACTGGTAAAAAGTATAAAAGAGACTTGCATTTATGTAAGTAATAAAAGGGATTTCAAGCACTGATAGGGGGGCATGTCTCTCCCACTTTTTGAAATTCTGTTAGATATTTCAGGGGCACAGGATGGCTGTAGAAAATTGTACATAGCTGAGTTGCAAAAGAGCTGTCAGATCAACTATCATATGGCTCCTTCTACTAGACTTCTTCAAAGTCAGAGTTCAATACCTATTTTAGACCTTGGATTATGGACTAAAACCCTTTTGCTTTGAGTGACCCTGTACTTTAATGATGGTTATTTTATTCAACCAAATTACTGAACATTACTTTTTGTCACTGCCAAAACAATCATTACACTACTGAAACTTCTGTTTGAGCAGTGACTATTTCAGCAGTGACATTTCTGAGCATGTTCTGCATTTTTTTCAAATTCAAATGTGAATTAAACTGTACATTTACAATTGCATTTCCCATATGAATGTGCATTACATAAGACATAATTCATATGTAAAACTTGTATTTGCTTTTGCATTTCTGTGTATAACAGCTGGAAATATTTAACATGGAAAAGCAAACCTTTTGACATTTCATTGTCATTGTCTTAATGGTCTGCATTTCTTCATCATTGTGCTTCAGCTCTATCACAATTAAAATGTATTTGCAAACCTGTTTGCAACTGCATTTTCACAGTCAACGAGGCTTCCTGTCCATTAAAAGCTGTGGGTGGGATTTCAGGAGGGAGCATGTTTTAAGAGGAAGTGATGAAAATGTCTCAACTTTGGCATGCTGGAGCATTAGTAACTGCTGCTAGTGGCATTTTGACACATGCTAACTTGGCAGATAATCCTGATTTCCTGGTCTGTCATAGGCACCAATGTTAGTGACTGGAGGCTTGCAGGACTGTTAGAGAAACACTGCCTAGAACATTTTAGTGCTTCCCCTGCTCAAACAAATACAAAGAGTCACGGGCTGGACCTGGTTTTCCAAATTTCTCACTGTAAAAATCACCTTAACAATACTGGTACAGAGGGTGTTCATTGTGATGCTCATGCTACCATTTAAGTATAATCTTTGTGCTAAAATGCTTTCAGGTATGTTGGGTGCAGTGAAAACATTTACATGTGTAGGCCAGTGTTTCTCCTGGACTAGACTGGGTAGCACTGGGCTAACACACAGTGGCCCTTAATAGGAATATCTATCGTAGGCCGTCCAGGTCCTCTGACAGTCTTGCGAGCCTCTGTCTGAAGTCGGTCATGATGTCACTAACATTGGTGCTTGTGACCACCACGACTTCTTTTAGACTTTAAATTATGTCTTAAATAATGCATGCTCACCTGTGAAATGCTATTGTGAATGCACAATTTAATTAGCATTTTCATATTTGCATTTGAATTAGAAAAATGTCCAGGATATGCTGCATGCAAAAGCACTAGTCAGTACATAACTAGCAGCTTTGGACAGTTGTATGCACTTAAAATCATAATATTTTTCATTAAAACACTAACCAGCTTTAAATGCCGAAAATATGTTTCGGTAGTGACAATTCTTATGGTTACACACTGATCTTCAGAATCTGGGACACATTTATTTCAAAACAGTTGGATCTTACTGCTCACCATGTGAGGGATGCAGCCTCACTTCATGGTCTAAAAAGCAGAGGCGTGGCTAAAATAAGGCTCCGCCTATTGACTAATGTCTTTGTGTTTCGGTAGTGACATGAAAACTTGGGACAGCATTTTATTATTTAAAAATGAAACTCACAATAAATCCAAAACTTTCAGCTTTACTTCAAAATAAATTTAACAAATCTTAAAATTTTCCTTTTAAAAAACCAATTATTTTCACAATTTGGGGGTTACGGTTTGAGCCACGTCCCAAAAGAAAGTACCATATAAATAATGATTTTGTATACATTTAGCTTATTGCTAGGTCAATTAATGCCTTGGGTTTAAATAGATCATAACATATCCTCGTACATATCTATGGTATAATAATATATAATGATAATTGTAATAAGTATAATTTTAGGCCCTATGTTTATCCATTTTAACAGTTGAATTACTGCATGTATGTTATAGCCTCCTGACATTGACCAAATTTGCACTGCTGATTCTAAGAGGTACAAAAATTCCTGGCTTACTGTGGATTCCATAGTTGAAACATGCACATGCAAATGTGGAGCCTCTGGAACCTACCCCAAGGATGACTCTGGTGTAGTAGAAACGGTCAATCAGAAACGCATTGTAGTAATGGACAAAGAGGAACGCATTGATTCCAAGCCAGACCAGCTGAAAAGAAAACAAAAACAAGTCACAATACATGAAAACATCTGCAATTTATTCTATTATTATTATAATTATAATTATTATTTTTAGAAGAGAACATGGCTGATGAGATGTATAAAAGTGCTGCTCAAGGTTTTGGAATTTAATATTTAAAGAATGTGCAGCCTGTGAAGTCCTAACAATCTACAGAGAATGTACTGAAAAAAAAACATAATTTCCACACATTACATCCACACAATTAAGTCTTTCAGTTTACCTACTTTGTTAATGTGATATATTTTATTCATTTAGAAATGATGTACATAAGTCAAATGAATCAAGTCAATTGACTCTCTTCAGCGTGGCAGGAACAGAAATATGAATTAAATTCAGATTCAAAAAGACTTACAATAACGAAGATGGATAGTCCTTCATTTGCTGCGAAGTTGCCCATGCTGAAAGAACAGAACAGTCTGTATGTGTGTGCTCGTGTGTGAAAGACAGACAGAGTGGTGCAGAGAAGTGAAAGGCGCTTGGTATTTAAGGCAGAGGATCATGGAGGAAGTTTAACATGCCTGACAGATTCAACCTGTTAGAAATGATGAAGAGAAGTTCCCCGGCATTTTGAAAGTGAGAGAGAGTGAGAGAGAGAGAGAGAGAGAGAGAGAGAGAGAGAGATTGCACTTGGGCCAATGGCATGCATTTTTCCTATTTATTTCCTATTACATAATTCAGTAAATACATGTGAAAACATTTTGAGTGCATCAAAATTAAATATAGGCATTTATGCCTGCCAAAATGTAAAAATGTCGTGTGGTGTTACTGTCAAAACACACATGCAGATTACAAAAACTATTTAAAAAGGCAATTTAGTCATTTACAATTGTAAATAAAAGGAGGGCAACTATAAAATTCAACTCTTTGAAAAACATCTGTCTGTAAATTCCAATTTCCTCAAATGTCACACAGCACAACTAAAAACAAAGAATTTCTATTTTGTCATGCTGAGCAGGGTATTGCCCCATAAAGAATACCCCAAGTGACCTTCACAGTGCAAAGCCAGGGTCTGTAGCTTTTGACAAATATTGTTATTTATGGTTAGACTGATTTACCAAGTCAGGTGCTAAGACACCAGGAAAACCATTAAAACTGTATTATTATGTTATTATAGTAATGTAATATATATATATATATATATATATATATATATATATATATATATATATATATACATACATTTTATACTTCATGTCCTCTTTTTAATTCTTTGCAAATAAACTGTGCACTAGAATTTGCTCATAATTGCTTGTGTGTTTAGTTTCATACACACACCTACACACAAAAGACGGAAAATCTCTGGTCACTATGGAGACAAAAGCACATACAAAAAGTGTAAATGAAGATCTAATCAAGATGACCACAAAGCATCCCTTTGAAATGAAATCTGACATCACTGTAGGATTTTCCATTTATGACAAAAAGCTTAAAAATAAGAAATCTGTAAGAAAGAAAAGGAAGAATAGAGAAAGAAAGTCCACAAATAAATTGTATACTTTTTTATTTTTCTTGTGTTCTGGGGCTTTGCTTACAGAAGATAGATGTAGAAAGCATTCACTCACAGGTGCCACTGTAAGTTACGAGATAACATTTTGCCCTAATGAGATCATTCTGAAAGAATAATACCGTTCCTCCATACTGCCAACCACCAGAGGGCACTAAAGGCTTAAGTACAATCATCTATCATCATGCGCATTTCCACGTCACAACTGTCATCCTCTTTTAGCAAAATATTTCAGATCATAATGTGCAAAAGTGGTCCCTTTTCGTTGCAAACCTGTACAAATGACAGTGAGAGAAGTGCAAATAAGGAATATGAGTACTTTAAAGAAAGACTAAACAATTAAAAAAGAAAAAAATTTCAATATCTTGACAAATTCTTTCACAACCTGTCATGCTACTCAAAATTTGCTTATATGTATAGTCTTCATGACAAAACCATAATGAGCTACCATCCTACGTGTCATTCAATACCCCCCTGTACTGGCTGAATGAAAGAAGGTCTCCACTTGAGTAGGGTACTGGTAATAAGATACAGTTCTTTATCGATAAAGTCGCTCAAAGAAGTAAGACAACATAAGCAAGGAATAAACCTGAGAAGCTAGTGAGTGAAACAGAACTCTTTCAGGCAGCTGTGGCCTCCAAGACATTTTACAATGCACAGACACACCTAATGATAAAGACTTTACAATCCAATTAAATCCACCTTAAAATGAAAGAAAGGTTTAAAAATATGCATCTAAGGGGCTTAGTTTCTGAAGGTCAAAGAGATACCAAAATGATTCCAAGCCTATAATAGACTCACTGCATTTGGAAAACTGGAAAAGTGGTTGCAGTTGGAAGCTCACTGCTTAGCCACTGATAGACATTTAAAGAAAAGATAGTGCTATAAAAATATTCTAACAATATTATGCCAGCTACTTGCAAGAAAAAGTGCGAAACTCAACTTATAACCTGGTTTCAGCCATGGGCGTCGCTAGGCCAGATTTAGGGGGGCTTTAGCCCCATCCCCCTCCCCCCAACCAAACATTATTATGTCCCCTTTCTCAAATAAATGTACATTACCAGTTCAAATCCTCTATAGTTTATTCTCTTTCATTCTTCATTATTCAGCTGTGCCATCACGTCTCCAACTTCGTAGTATACTGTGACAGCAGGGTGTGACTTGGGGGGAGACGCTGCTGCTGCTCTAATGCAGCGCTACCTCTGATGTGCTACCAGAGATTAACTAACATCACGTGAAAAGCTGAACCCCCGGCAATCAAATCAGACTGTGTAATTTGTAAGCCAATCGTATCAGACCTGGGGGAGGGGTTCGGGTTTAACTTGCTCTGCAAAGTAACGTGAGCCGACAACTGCTGAAGCTATGATGGACTTGTGGCAAATGCTCATTAAAATAAACATTATACCTTATACGAGTTCCATAATATACAGAAACAGTAAGTAGTTACAGAGTGACTATTCACCTATGATATGGATTTGTGGCAAATTATGGTCAGTATAGTTGGCTATACTGGGTTTTTACTGAGTGCTTGTTAGCGAGTTAACTTTGGGTTTACATAAGGCTAAAAAAGGGGTTAAGCTAATACTAATATTAGCTACAAGCCAAGCAGTTTAAGATTTTGAAGAAACGACACTTCGTAGGGAGAGTGTGAGAGTGTGAATGAGCAAACAGACAGAAATAATGTTACTGACATTTATATTCTTTGTTTTTATATTCTCTTTAGTTTTTGGAAACAAAGTATTAGCCATATTTTGTTGCTTACAGTAAATTAATGTCAGAGAAAGGGTCATATGATGTTGACCAAAATTAAATTTTCTATCCCTCAAATCCTCAAACTGTAAATGGAAAAACTGACCTCTTATTATTTTTAGTTAATGAATTCTTGTAAATATGAATTTAATAAAAATAAATAAAAAAAAATATTACTAAACACAGATAGAGAAAGAAGCTGAAGGAGACTGACAGGGCTGAAAGTAGCAGATCAAGTGATCAAAAAGAAAGTGAGAGAGTTGTTTAAGCTTAAGTCCCCCCCTCTAGTGACGCCCCTGGCTTCAGCAACACAAAACCTGAACATTTGACCACAAGACGAAAGTAAGAGTTTCATGACTCATAGAGTTTGTTTACACCTTGCATTAACATGTGCTTCTTGTCCAAATCTGGATATACTTTGGCTGGAATGCATTTACACATTTTACTAAATGCGTCCCCAGTGTGACCAGATAAGATCTGATTTTACATTCCTGCATAAAAACCGTATCACAATCACCCTTTGGTTAGGAATGGGCAGTGTATTACACACACACTTATCCGCTTATCCTCCTGGGTCACGGTGGGTACTGGAGCCTATCCCAGCAGTCACTGAGTGGAATGGACTGCCTCACATTTAAGGAAGGGACAAAACTGGAATAAGAAGTTAACTTCAGCACTGTTGAATTTCTCAAGCCATTTGTCTTATACATTTGTATTATACATGCATCCCATACATTCATGCGGACACTGATGGAATTTCGAAAATATTACAATCACTTCAATACCAGCTAGTTTGCTAGTGTGCTTATTTGGAGCACAAAACCTTCGTCTGATGCAGGCATTTATCTGGGTGACTGAGGGTCTGGTGTCTTAATTTTCTTGCAAAACATGACTACAGCTTACAACGTAGTCACCCTGCTAAATGGGCTAGCAATAGCATCGTATACGCAGTTTGCGCGCTACGTTATTTTAACTTATTTCTTGCATACCAGTGTAACAGTTAAGACAAAACTTACACGAGGCTGTAAACATGGTTTCTAACATGCTACTACCAGTGGATTACACATTGTCAAATATTGGAAAAAACTTTTAAAACAAGCAGCGCCACTACTGTCTTGAGGACATGAGACACAGAAGACGTAAATGTACATATTCCATTTACGCTTCAGATTTGTCTCTGACCACTTCAAATGTGGTCTGAGCAACCCAATCTTTATCTGTGTTCTGGGTGTGTTTATACCTGGCTTTTTTATACAGTCAAGTGAAAAGTCAAGTGAAATCCAAACCTGATACAATTAACGAAAACGCATGTTAATGCAAGTTGTAAACAGCCTGTTATACTGTCTTGTTGACATTTTGAGCCGTCAACTCGTATTGCCACTTCCCAACCATTAAATTTGGTGGTAAATATATTCTTCTTTCATGAACACTTTGATACTCTTCTACAAACTGTTCAAAACTATCAAAAAGCATTCAAAACAGGACTTAATGGTGTTTCCATTATTTTGTTTAACACCTTTCAAATATTTGATCTTGTTAAAAAAGAGAGCTCAAAAGACATAGAGACAGACAAACAGACAGACAGAGAGCTCCCACGTTACACAACAGAAGCAGCGATTTCATTTTCTTAAGGATAAAAGATAGCACATGCATCAAGAACCCCATGCCACAAAGACAGCAAACGCTATCGTCTTGTAAACTGAAAGGAAAAAAAGGGGGGGAATCTTGCCTTCGCTGAGTCTGAGAAAGACCCCTTCATACATTCCTTAGACCATCAAGGCAAAGAGAGCTTTGAATGTCTTCATTGGCTAATCAAAATTCAGGTCCATAAGGGTCACTTTTTTGTGCTTTAGCTGTTCTATTCAGCACAGACTCTGGTTGACCTCTCCATTGGTAACTGCGTCTTTGGCTGTTTCGGGCTGATCCAGGCCAGGCTTGTCCTGCGGCAGGTTAGGTGGGGAGTAGGGTCCAGCGGGCAGCTTTAGTGACCCACAGCACTCCCACAGCCCCTGTGCTGGGCTGGACGAGAAGAGGCGCCTGCAGGGGTGGCAACACTGGTAGAAAAGCAGCATGAAGAAGACAGCCAGCACATAGCCCAGCAGCAGCAGCAGCTCCAGCACGGGTGCATCCACCTGCCGGTAGAAGTCAGTGCGGTGGACATACCAGAGCGAGGTGAGCGCCGCGTTTTCAACAAAACGCAGCGAGTAGTAGGTGGCCGACCGGCGCCAGCCATGACCCTTGTCGATGAGGTCCGGGTCGTCCAGCTTGAGCTGTACTGCCGACCAGCAGAAGACGTTGATGCCAGCGTAGAGGAAGGTGAGCATGCAGAGCACAATGGTGGTGCCCACACGTGTCAGTGTCTTCTCAATGTTCTCAGGGAAGGGTGAGTGGCTGCTCCAGAAGCGCACCCACGGCTGCAAGAAGAAGATCAGGAAGCTGATCAGCACCAAGGGCAGCACCCACACCTTCAGCACAGAGCTGAACAGCACTAGCACAGCCACTCGCGTGGCGATCTCGAAGCCGCGCCACAAGAACACGCATAGGTATGCCGCTGGATGTACTGAAACCTCATAGTCGTCGTAGCGGATCTTGATGGCCAGGATGTTGCAGCGCAGTGCACCATACACAATGGACAGCAGAGAGATGACCATCAGCGTGCCTGAGTGAAGGAGAGTGAATACTGATATATTATTTAGGTGAATAATTATTAGGTTTACCTACAGGCATATGCAAATGTTTCGATGCCCCTGATGAAAATACATATATTTTTTTTAACATTCTCTACAGAGAACACACTTCTGTATATTTTAATTTGCTGAAACATTGGGGAAAAATAAAATAAAATATGACCTGTGCAAATGTTACAACAAATAGAAACACTATATCTGAGGTTGTCCCCTGTAGAGGATGTGCAAATTTATTTTCACTTAGAAAATCAAACTTTTGCATATAACTGTAGCTACAATCTGATTAATGCTATTTAATCAGTTACATCCACAATACAGTTACACCCACAATACAGGTGAGTACACTGACTGTAGCCTGTTGCAAAATGTATCAGGTGGCCTCTTCCATTTAAGGAAAGGGACCACCATAGGACCACTGCTGAACAGATATTGAGTGGCGGATCATGCAGTGACTCTGACACCTTAGTGGCATGTTAGCAATGTGTGGCACTGGTTTGAGTGTATCAGATGGCACACACACATACACACACACACAGGCACAACACATGTTACACTCACTGGCCAATTGTAGGTATATATACAGTGGTGTGAAAAAGTGTTTGCCCCTTCCTGATTTCTTATTCTTTTGCATGTTTGTCACACTTAAATGTTTCAGGTCACCAAACAAGTTTAAATATTAGACAAAGATAACACAAGTAAACACAAAACACAGTTTATAAATGAAGATCTTTATTATTAAGGCAAAAAGAAATCCAGACCTACAGGGCCCTGTGTGAAAAAGTGATTGCCCCCTAAACGTAGTAACTGGTTGGGCCACCCTTAGCAGCAACAAACCGCAATAAAGCGTTTGCGATAACTGGCAATGAGTCTTTTACAGCGCTGTGGAGGAATTCTGGCTCACTCATCTTTGCAGAATTGTTGTAATTCAGCCACACTGGAGGGTTTCCGAGCATGAACCGCCTTTTTAAGGTCATGCCACAGCATCTCAATCAGATTCAGGTCAAGACTTTGAGTAGGCCACTCCAAAGTCTTAATTTTGTTTTTCTTAAGCCATTCAGAGGTGGACTTGCTGGTGTGTTTTGGATCATTGTCCTGCTGCAGAACCCAAGTGCACTTCAGCTTGAGGTCATGAACAGATGGCCGGACATTCTCCTTCAGGATTTTTTGGTAGACAGCAGAATTCATGGTTCCATTTACCACAGCAAGCCTTCCAGGTCCTGAAGCAGCAAAACAGCCCCAGACCATCATACTACCACCACCATATTTTACTGTTGGTATGATGTTCCTTTTCTGAAATGCTGTGTTACTTCTACGCCAGATGTAATGGGACATACACCTTCCAAAAAGTTCAACTTTTGTCTCGTCATTCCACAGAGTATTCTCCCAAAAGTCTTGGGGATCATCAAGATGTTTTCTGGCAAAACTGAGACGAGCCTTTATGTTCTTTTTGCTCAGCAGTGGTTTTCGTCTTGGAACTCTTTGGATGTTGTTGTGGGGTCTTTTGTGACCTCTTGGATGAGTCAAGCCTACGGTCTTGGGGTAATTTTGGTCAGCCGGCCACTCCTGGGAAGGTTCACCACTGTTCTATGTTTTCGCCATTTGTGGATAATAGCTCTCACTGTGGTTCGCTGGAGTCCCAAAGCTTTAGAAAAGGCTTTATAACCTTTTCCAGACTGATAGATCTCAATTACTTTGTTTCTCATTTGTTCCTGAATTTCTCTGGATCGCAGCATGATGTCTAGCTTTTGAGGATCTTTTGGTCTACTTCACTTTGTCAGGCTGGTCCTATATAAGTGATTTCTTGATTGAGAACAGGTGTGGCAGTAATCAGGCCTGGGTGTGGCTAGGGAAATTGAACTCAGCTTTCCAAAGATGTGATAAACCACAGTTAATTTTTGTTTTAACGGGTGGGGGGGTGGGGGGGGTTCCCTTAATAATAAAGATCTTCATTTATAAACTGCATTTTGTGTTTACTTGTGTTATCTTTGCCTAATATTTAAATTTGTTTGGTGATCTGAAACATTTAAGTGTGACAAACATGCAAAAGATTAAGAAATCAGGAAGGGGCAAACACTTTTTCACACCACTGTATATATATATATATATATAACTGCGTGTGTGTGTGTGTGTGTGTAGATGTCACATACGCAAAAAAACAGCATTTTGGGTTTACAATATGTAAGCACATATATCGTATTTTTACTTTCACTTTTTCTTCATCAGTAACACTAACACAAAGCATCCTTTTAGGAAACAGGTGTAAATCAATTCATGTCAACACATCTGAATCTAAAAGCAGAGAGAGGAAAAGACTGATGTAAATTTGATATCTGGCTATTCTTAACTACTGCCTTAGCCCCACAGTATTTCAACACAAATGAAACATAAATTTCTTATGCATCTGACCTTTCTGATGGACACATAATTTTAAAATATTCAAAACCACAGATGTTTTATGGTATTTTGCCTATATGAGCTTTGTTTCTGCATGTCAAAAGTTACAGTTTTGTGTTTCTGTTTGTGTAAGTATGTCTCAATAAATATATGCATTTTCTGCTTTATTTTACTCCTCAATGCAATGCAACGCAACTCACATTACCACAAACATTTGATTATAAAAGCTAATAACTGTGGAAAATAAGGCAATTATGTAATAACAGTGACAGGCCTAGCGAGAAGCTGAGAAGAAAACAGAGAGGGGGGAGGAGACAAAGAGACAGAAAGAGGAGGAGAGGAATAACGATCTCTACTATATAAAATCTGACTGTGCTTAAGATGTAAACAACCTTCCATTATTGATCTGTGGTGACAATTCACCACAGTGATATGTAGTAATAGCCTTGCAATATAAAATGTTCTTGGAACATACGAGAAGCAAAACGTCCCTGGGGTAACATGAGTGTTTGAATATGAAACAACATAAATCAGCCCATCCTGTTCCGGTGAATCTGACAGCAGCTGACACTGTGTACTATAAACGCCATTGTTTTCTATTTCCCTTGTGGTTGTGTGGGGAAAACACGGTAGATGTCCCCTTCCTCATGGCGGAGTACCCAGACACCAGACCTAAATAAATCTACAATTCCACTGTAAACACACAGCCTTTTTCAGCCTCTGTCAGCTGATCCAGAGTCAGTCTCTGCTTGGCTAATCCTCACCTACAGCACTGAGAGCCAAGAGTGGCCGACTGATCTGCCGCCCACTGCGATCCTCCATCTGCACCGCGGCTCTTTCGGGGGCACTCAGCAGTTTGGTGTACACCCCCGCATCCCCGTTGGATGGCTTCTAAGCCTGTTACACAGTGCTGTGTGTGCAAATCACCAGCAAGGCAAACAACACAGCAGGGCTTGTGCTGAAATAGAGGGGAGCCTGAGGTAGCAGACACCACCCGACAGGTTGTAAAGAAACATTTCACTTCACCACACTGACAATGAGGGCTATTTGTCCATGCTATTTTGTTCAAAGCAGCACTGTTTGCTACAAGTGCCTAAGACCGGTCATAACCTTTAAATGTATGAATCCTTCTCTAAACATGAGCATTTACATACGCCAGGTTGTTAGCGAACCAACACACATCTAATCCGAAATCATCTACGAATTGCCATGATAGTTTCAAACTGTCAATAACAATAACAAAAGGATAAAACAAAATATATTTATCAATTTTGAAATAATTATTAAAATGATTATAGTATGCGTGCACACACACACACACAAATGCCTCAGTAACACATAATCAGGTGTAGAATCAATCAGAGCTATATTTTGAAATATAAGCAACAAAAAGCTACAAGTTAAACATTTTTTTGTAAGTCCTATGATGCGTCTCAATGACTGCTTTCTTTAATGTACATTTATTTAAGGCAGTTTAAGAAAAGAGCATGGGGTCAGTATCAGCTGATACTCAAGTTTTCAACATCAGTATCAGTATCAGAAAAGAAAGAAGTGGTAATGTTCCATCTCTACTCCTATTATTTTAGTAAATATTTCATATTTTGTTTGTGACCACCATTACCACAGTTTTGAAATTGTCTTTTTTTATTTTTATTTAGTTTTTCCCCTTTGGTTACTGATTTCAGTTTAGTTTCAGTTAGTTTTAAGGATGCATTAATAGTTTTGTTTATATTTTCTAAAAAGTAATAGTTTAGTTTTTATTAATTTTCAGTAGGTATTTGTTGAGGGAGGAATAAAATTAACACAACAGTAGACTGAGCTTGGCTCGGCTCCAGGTTTCTTTAAAGACGGCCAAACACAGAAGGGATCCACTCCTAAGCTCTCATTCACACACTGAAAAAAAGTTCTTTTCTCAGTAATTCTATTTCATTTTAGTTCTTTTTGTTATATTACACTTTTGATTAGTCAGACAGATTTAGAAAACTGTCATTTTTATTAATTACATTTTATTTATAACAGTTAACAAGCACATATGTTCATTGCTAGTTTTTGTTTTATTAGTAGTTTTAGCCCTGTTTGTGACTTATCTGGAAAAAATTAAGAGGTATGGAAATGAGACTGGCTTGCTAGCGTGAACCTTGAACCATTCAGCCACTAACAGCTGTTAAAACTGTTACTGGTGTGGTACAGTTTTGCTTCCTTTCCATGCTTCATTGCAGGATGTCTCTGGTATTCAGCTTATTTATAAAACAAAGTGAAACTGCTTATAGCAGCGTTGTCTTCTCTGTTTATAACAGCCCTTATCTGAGTGCTGATATCCTTCAAAAGCAAGTGTGCATCCTTGAGATAGTGCTCAAGGAAGTGGATAGTCTTAAAGTGGTGTGAAGTGTTCCAGTGCCACTCTGCAAAGCCAAGGCAGGGGTGTAAAATGTAGCAAAGAGGAGGTTTTAAATTTAGTAAGCTGATGCTACATAACTGTGCTTATAAAGAGAGCAGACAAAGGAAACAATCAGAGAACACGCACGATAATCTTCAAGAAAAGGTTCAAAAAGGATTTTTGAAGCTTTAGAAGTCGCAATTATAGCTGGTGTTAACAAGTATGACCTAATTTTAATTAATATGCAATGTGTATAAAATATGTTGTTGCTGTCAAGAAAGAAATATCTCCAAAATGGTCACTTTACAAGAGAAGTAAAAAAAACTTCTTAACTTACAGTGGAAGCCAAAGTAAACAGATTGTTTAATAATAGAAGTAATTCTGAACCATTTGTATTGATCTGTTCTTTACGAAATTTTAACGCAATGCACAGGGTAACAGCAGTGTTCAAATGATGCAAAAAAAGTTAAAAACAGCAAAAACAGAGATTCAATGTTTTTTGTGAGAGCAACAATTTAAAATGATTTATTTCTCATTTGTAGCTCAATGAAACAAGCAGAATAATTTAAGCAGAAGTGCAGATTGTGAACTTTCAACTGATAGGCCTACCACGTTTCTATTTGTGAGTATAAGAAGTTGAAAGATATTTTGTAGGGATGCATGTGGATATTGGAACCATATCAGTATCCACAGATATTTAGTTTAAAAGAAATTATTGCCATTGGATAGATGTCAAGATTTGACCAGTATTTCAAAGCAAAATTTAATGATACATTTATTGCACTCTGGATGAAATGCTTCCTGCATTTTATTCATTTTACTGCATTTGTAAGTCTACAAAAATGAATGTTTATTTCTCCCTTATGCTAATCCAAGTGGATTCAGTCCCAGTTTATACATTGTTTAAATGTGTATGTATTGCCATCAGTATTGGTACCGGCAGATAAGTACATGACAAGTATCGGATATTGACATCAACACAATATCTATATTAGTGCATCCGTAATACTTAATTATAATTTTAAAGTGAAGAAAAAATTTTGTTGTACATAAATAAAAGCTTCCCTTTACATTTTTGCCCTGTGTTTGTCATTGCTTAACATAGACATGGAAAATCTGTCAAAACATAATAGAAATTTAATGTAAATATTTAATGTAAATATCATACTACAGAAATAATTGAACTGAATATCAGTAATTATATAGTGAGATATTTACATTCAATTTATATTTCATATTTTTTTGTAATTTGATAATGAAGAAAAAATGTTGTGGGTAAATAAAAACTACCCCTTTTTGCCATTTTTTTGTAATTTCTTAACATAGAAATATAAAAAAGTAAGACGTGCAGACCAAAATCTGTCAATATAGAATATAAATTCTGTATTGACAGATTTGGGCAGCACGGTGGCGCAGTGGGTAGCGCTGTCACCTCACAGCAAGAATGGCCTGGGTTTGATTCCCGTCCGGGCAACCAGGGTCATTTCTGTGTGGAGTTTGCCTGTTCTCCCTGTGTCTGCGTGGGTTTACTCCCACAGTCCAAAAACATGCAGTCAGGCCAACTGGACATGCTAAATTGCCCCTAGGTGTGAGTGTGTGAATGTGTATGTCTGTCTGCCCTGCGATGGACTGGCGACCTGTCCAGGATGTATCCTGCCTTCCGCCCAATGACAGCTGGGATAGGCTTCAGCACCCCACCGTGACTCAGAAGGATAAGCGGTTTAGATAATGTGTGTGTGTGTATTGACAGATTTGAGTCTGCATTTACAACATTTTCTGTTTCTAGAAAATGTACACTAATGTGATTTATTGAAGTGCACAGCAAAAAAGTCAGAATTCTTAACTTCTTAGGGTTAAACATGAAATGTACATTTCACTGTACACAGTCAGAAGGACCATGCCAAAAAAGCAATGATTAAAATATCTCAGGAATGTTTCAAGAAGTTCTTCAAGAACTAACTGCACAGAGGAAAAAATCTTGAGTCCACTATTTTTAAACACCACAAAAGACTTAATATTAAAGTTCCAATATTTGGGCTAGAATGTTGTGTAAACGCATTAAGTCGCTCTTACATCATTCATCATAAAACAGATGTAAACACTTACGCTTCAGCTCATCCACACCCTGCTATCTACCATTCAACATGCGTGTCAAAGCCCCTGAGAGCATGAGGCCAGATTACAACTCTCATAGCTCATGACCTTAGCTAATCAGCTTGTCTCATATCTTTGCTATGTGCCATGTAACGCTCTGTGAGCAGAACATTTCGAGCCAGCCCAACAAAATGCTGACATAATATTATAGAACCTCTCCTAACTGAGCTCTTGTTTCTGACATACATTACTATGCAAAAGTCAGAGACCACCTTGACTTCAAAAAGGTATTGAGTACGTAGTATATAGTACATTTTTCAGCTTCAGGAAAACAGTAGAAAATATATATTAAACAGAAAATTACACAGACGCCGCAATAACTAAATATTAATAATATAAGTTTTTCAGTAGGTGCTGTGTCCACACTTTACCTTTATTACAGCTTCCCTTTTTTCAGGAGACTTCAGGGATCAAGGATCAAAGAAATTTGCAGGGATATTTTTTCACACTTTAGACATTTTATTGAGTTCATTTTATGCTTCTCACGAATCAAGTAATCCCAAACACATCTAATGATGTTGTGGTCTGGACTTCTTGGATTCTTGACAGCTACACATCCTTTCAGAACCAAAGTGCTTAGTTGTCTTCCCACAGTGGCAGTATGGACAGAAACACCTGTGGTTTTTTTTCCGATCTGAACCAAGAAGTGAGCTTGATTTTTGTCCTTTTCTTAAAGGAAGGAATGAGTTATGGTTGCTTACCAGGTCTTGCATGGTTTTTAGGGGTCTTACTTTCTCTTTAACAGGTAATAATGTTTTCACTCCAGTTATACAAAGAAATGCTTGTTTTTCATTTAATTTTCTTTGACTTTCCTCTTGCTTATGCAAGTGGATTATCTTACCCACAATCACTTCAGAAACATCTCCTGAAAAATCAATAACTTGCCCTAACTGGCCATTTTGACTGAAAATTAAGTGAATGAAGGGGGTCTTTTGCACAGTACTGTATGATTGTAAAAAAGAGTGATCTTTAACTTCCAGTTTTGTTGTGAAGGCAGTTTTTTTTTAAATGTTCTGATTTGAACAATATTGATAATGTTTCCCAGGCATGAAACTATTGCATTTTATATAAGGCAATAATTTTTTCTTCTCTCTAAATTCTGCGTTCAGAAAGAATAATGACTTCCTTCTTCAGAGTCAAGTCGAACACAGCACCAATCCTGGTAATGACAAACCACAGCACTGCTCAGTTTAGCCAAACTATTTGGCCCAACACACCCAATCCACCTCATAATCAGTTGATGAGCTGGATCCGGTGTGTTGAGTCAAGGATTACTTGAAACTGCAGTACTGAGAGTTACAAGGAGCAGGACTAATGCTGGATTCAACTGAACTCAGCTCTTTTTCAACCCATGTGCTTTCAAACTACAAAGTGGGAAACAACATACACGTCCATGTGTATGGTTAGCCAGCTAACATTAGTGATACGATTAATAACATTTAATGTACAAGATGTTTTTACCCTCTCAAAAAACAACTTTATAGTCAGTGTTAAAGATTTAAGCAATATAACTGTATTTAATGGATTTAAAACTCATCTTTCTTAAAAGAACTCGTAGTTGAGAACACCATCCCAACTTTCCAAGTAGGAATTCTCATTTGAGGGGGGATCTACTTACATCTTTCCTAGTTGGAGGTTGGAAATATAAGTTACAAACTCAAAGGCAGCACTAGAAACATGGGGTTGGAGCATTCTCTCAAACTTGTGAATTCTGTGAATCACAATAATAACAATAATAATGCAAATGGGAAGTGCAACCTGTACTCTCTGTGTGATTCAGCTTTCAGTGATCTGTGTGTTTGTGTGTGTGTGTGCGTGTACTCTCCCTCACCTCTCCCAATGGAAACACCCCTCTGCAGCACGCAGATGTAGAGCTGCAGTGTGAGCTGAGGGGCGGAGCCCAGGAAGGCCTGGATGACGGAGGTTCTAGCAAAGGCTGCCCGGTGGGTGACCAGCTTGCCCTCCGCCTGCCCCACCTCCTGCTCCACCTCCTCTGTCTGACCACTGCGGGGCATTTGCTTCTTGCGTGTAATGGTGACATAAGGCTCCTCCACCTTCCCTGAGCTTCCGTAGATACAGAAGGCATCTAGGCACCTGGGAAAATGACAGGCGTTTCAGTTACATGATTAAAATAAAATGTTTCATTGTTTGTCCCGTATGAAATTGTGCACATGTGGCAGAATCCTAAATGGCAAGTTTACTTTGTCCCACTTTAGTAATCTCCAATTTCCATGTCGTCCCATTTTTACAAATTCCAAATAGTAAATATTTCATATTTTTTATGAAAGAACAATGGCACACAGTGTCACTGATGCCAAGCATTGCTTTTTTCCCTATGGTGATTTCCATGACCAAAACTTCACTTTTGCCAAGTTCATGAGGTGCTCTATGTATAAAAACAAAAAAACATACCTTATTCAAATACTCGAATAAGTAAACAAATGCTTTTATGAGTTTGTACAAATAACCTACCCCACCCCTCATGATGCTGCCGCCAAATTTTGTTTCAGACCTGTGGGAAAAACTGAAGACTTGCAGGAACATTTTAAATAAACAATATAATCATCCTAAATAATCACTGCTGATATATCCAGAAGTGTTTTGAGTGATTATTTTTTTTTATTTTAACTTTATAGTGTAATCATGCAAGTCATAAATAAAACACAACCAGAACCTGAAACTGTACACCCTGTAGGTATAAATCTTTGGCCTCACAATGATTGAATTAATAATTTAATAATTAATAACGCATTTGATTTATTTGCTCATGAGTTTGTATTCCATTTTTATTCAACAATTCAAAGCATCATGAAATCTCAAATTTTGTCAAGATTTGATTTGATAATTTTGGTACAATTCAGAATTATTTTTAAAAATACACAGAACACACAAATCCCAGATAGCAAGCATATATCGGTCGGCTGGCTTGATAAGGTCGGCACCCCACTGACTGTTTGCCACTGCTGGTCCACCCTCGAACCACACAGATTACTGTCCTGCATACAAGATCTAACTAGTTTTTAATCTCCTCAAACTGATTTTAATGCATAGAGACATTTGTTTTAGAAAATAAACAAAGATTACAAACAATTGAGAGAAACAAAATAATGACAATGCATGAAATAAAAAGATTTTGTTGCTGACATTGTGTTAGGTTAGAATTATTTACTAATTTAATTTACAAAGTATAACTAAAGAAAGGAAGGAAGGAAAATGAAGTAATTTGGACTATGAGTGGAAAAAAGTTTGTTTTTATTTTATCAGGCAGCCAAAGAATTTAGCCAAAAAAATAGTGCTTACTTTATTGAATATTATATAATTGATTTTAATCCATTTTTTTCTAAAATTGATGCAGCCGGATCACCACCATCAGATCGATGCATCAGTACATTTTCACACACTTAGTATCCTCAATACGCAGTATTTACTGTCACACCTTATTCTTGAACTGCTATGCATGAACTCTGCAAATCATTAGCCTTGCTCCATTTAATTACATGGTGAAACTGAACCTGAATCACATGCCATTGCAGCAATCATGACGTTGAAGTATGCAGACTGCAATGTCATTAACCTGAGGGCTAGAAGTCAAGGCACAACATAAGCTCCTAGTCTATTTACTCCCACTGTGTGCAAACTAATGCTGTCACTACCTATTCTATTTGCAATCAAATAATCTACTGATTACATTGAAAAGTAATACACTATATGTCTAAAAGCTTGTAGAAACCTGCTTATCCAACAGTTTTTTTCTAAAATCGATTAATATTTATCTATTAATGGAGAGTTTAGCCCCATACAGTAAACAGTAAGCCTCTAGTCTTCTGGGAAGGTTTTATACTAGATGGTGCAGTGAGCATTTGATTGCATTCAGCCACAAGAGCATTAGTGAGGTCAGGTACTGATGCTGGATCAATCCAGAGAACACAGTTCCTCCATTCCACAACCCAATTCATGGCTCATGTGCAGCTGCTCCAGAGCGTTCCATTCTATTACAAATGCTTTCTAATGAAGATGATTCAAACTAATGCCAGCAATGGGTTTACCACAAAGTAGCTGAATTCACTTATTAGAATTTCTAGATTTTCTGGATACTTTTGGAGATATAGTGTAATAATGCAACAAAAATATAGCAATAAAATGGACTTCATTGGACTTTTAGAGAAAAAGAAAGAAAAGCTAAACTAGGAAGCCTTTAATAAGACATCATGAAAAACACCACGACAAACAAAATGCAAGTAAATGGGCGCATATATCAGGCTATAACAGGTTATATCAGGCTATTTCATGCAGCAAGACAAAACAGTACAAATTAATACATACTGAAATCTCATCACTGTCATTTTTTACATAATTCAAAGATACCAGCTGCCATTTACACTGTCAAAATTTTATGACAAACACACCAATAAAAATGGTCCAAAAAATTTTAAAATAAAATGTTGTTACATTAACTTACATTGAAAGTTAAAAGGGTTTTCTCCTTCCCCTGTACTTACTGTCCTGGAGATTCTGTGATGGACATTCTGTTCTGACAGTGATGATTTGTATATAACAGTGTTAACGAATCACTTGTGATTCACTGAGAAGGTCAATTTTAATAGATAATGTATTTTTTTTTAATGAGTAATAGATTTTAAGCTGCACAATCTGCTACACTAAGACAGTGTCACAAACATTGTCCTTCAATCATCAGTTTTAAGGGCAAACCTTTCAACAGACTATTCAAAGCCTAATAAAGCCCTCATCCACCCACATATCCTTATAAACACCCTGCTGTGCTGCATCACGGGTGCATTTTAAGGTGACTGATGAAATCTGGGTTACAGATTTAAACCCATCAGTCGCCTTAAAATGTGCAAAGCCTGATCGATGCAGCACAGTGCTCCTGCAAAATCAGCATGCATGCCAGACCAGTGCTGCCTGAGGGGACAGCTTTTGCAAGCCCCGATGGGCCATTTGCCCATCTAACTCATTCAATATGCAGAGGACAGCCAGTGCACAGTACAAACCAGCTAGACTGTGCGGTGCAGAGCTTCTAACTCCAATTGTTTTTTTTTAACATCCATAGATATTACCAGTGCATTTTTACCCTCATATTCATTCACTCAGTCTTCATCATCCATTCAGCTCATCTGTGCTAGATAAAAGCACATTAATATACAATTAGAGACCCAGTGGAGGAAGATATCTGACTTTATTCCAAACGACATTGTGAGAAAGGCAATGAAATGGAAGTATAAATCATTGATGAGCCACGCAGGGTCCCTGAAACATTGACCAGCACTATCTGTTTGGGCCTGCACAGGTCACGCCGTCTGAACTGCACTGGGCTAGAAAGCGATGTCAAATGCATTAATTATGGATACAGTCTAAATGAGGATGATGGACAGCTGGGGCCAACAAACGCTGCACTGGCTGTACTGACTATTGTCAATAACACAGTGACAGGCTATTCTTATCACATTTCACAGAATGGAACTACACGCATTCAGCTTCTTTCTATCATTACTTGACAAGCAACAGCTGACATATTGCTGCTTGTTAAAAATAATAGAATCTTGCAGAATTAGAAAAATATGAAAAATATGCATTACTTTAATTATGCCTTATGGTTCCAGGTGGTACACAAATAATTGGAATTTATTGCACATGCTTTGGATCTCAGGTCACCCACGCCACAACACTTAAGGCAGGACAAAAACCAGTATGATGTGGTTTTCAACAGGGATTTTCCCCCTTAGGTAATGTTACCTGTCTGAGACTGAAGCTTAGACCTATTTAAATACCTAAAGAATATTTAGAAATATCTCACAGGTAAACAAAGCTGACACGTCACATTTAGGCAATGGCCAATGGACTGACAACACACTTGCTTGTTGCTGTCATAAATCAGGATTTTTGACTTCGTCCGGTCACAGGAAAGGCTGAAAATACCTTTCGGCAACATTCCTTCACCAACATGGCATGGCTTGCTCACTGTACGTTACTGTTGAACGTTGTGGCAGCAGTACAAAAAAGTAGAGCGCACCTGATAATAGGTCCCAGCTGTAAAATGTGGAGAAGCAGCACGAGCGGCCTGTCTCTGCTCAGGTCTCTGTGGATGAAGATGAGGGTGAGCTGCACCAGGACGGAGGGCACCAGCGTGAACAGCAGCGTGAAGCACTGCCAGATTTTGTCTCCGGCCGAGCGGTACGTAGTGCTAAGGTAAAGCGCAGCCGTCGTCTCGGCTGTGAACAGAGAGACCGACACTAGGACCGAGGTGGGCAGTCTCATCCTCACGCTGCCATCTTGGGCTTCTCCTCTGCTGATCTCGCATGCAGACTGCGCTGAGACGGAGAGACACCCCGCCGTAGCGCCGCGGCTGATTGGCGTTGTTTCTTTCCCTACCCGTATTCCGGAAAACCCCGCCTCTCGTGCTGGGATTGGCTACTGGGCTCCAGACTACTGCGCTGTGATTGGCTAAAATCTTACAGCCTACTCACTCACAGCTCGCCTAAAACTTGTGCAAAATCTCTGTAAACACTTCAATATAGTGATTTCTTGTTCCATTTGAGCTCAGATATCACAAAGAAAATGCTTTTGCCTAATCAGAACAGAGAAGTACTAACTATCAAAGTACAATGCGTTTCATAGAACCCACTATATTTTCCCAAAATATTCAATTAGCTGCTGAACAACCAACAATTTATGTGAGGTGTGTATTGATAGTCTAGTTACAGTAGTATATACTAGGCTTCTGAATACAGTCTTCCTTTCATAAAACACAGAAATATGGTTTACTTAAATGTACACTCTGGCCAACATGAAATATGTCAACTTCTGTTGTAAACATGCTCGCATCCTACCGCTGTGCCACAGCAAGATAAGCCACCAGAGGCTGTGCAAGGGGGTTTTAGGACACCCTTTCGTGTGATAAAATCGCAGTAACGCACGGCCTCAAGTGGCTTATTACTTTCATTAAACAGCGGCCAACATAAAATATGATAAAATATACAATTTTTCAGAAAATAATTTAAGCTATTATTAAAAATAGTCTACATAAACAAGTATTCCGCCAAGAAAAGTAGTTCATTTAGAGTACCATTGACGAGCAACCATGGACCGCTGAACGAGGAGAAGGATGTTCGGTCGCCCATACATACTGCACCACGTAGGAATTTTAATGCTGACTCCTGAACACCAACGGTGCAAAATATAGCTAAGAAGTAGTCATTTGGGACTCAGCCATATCCATACTCGACAAATCATGCACTATTTGGATAGAGGCTAGAATGTCTAAACTTTCATAGCTAGAAGATTATTTAGGGAGTACGATGCCATTTAGGATTCAGCCTGGGTTTGATGCTACTTCTACTTCTGAAACACAAACATTTGAAGCCTGTAATCCATTCAAGTGACATTTTTAGACTTTTATACTGCCGTTTTACAGTTAATTATATCGTAAGTAATTTTATTCAAGCCAGTGATATTAACGATGGAGTTGTTTAGGCTGTTGGCTATCTTTTAGCCTGTTAGCTAGCTGACCAGCCTAGTTCTAGTTAAGAACATAAGCTGCCAGCCCCGCAGTGTAAATAAAAAACGGGTTCTTACTTCATCAACGTGCTAGACGGTCCATGCAAGCACCGAGAGTGAGGGACTATTCTATTAACAGCACAAGGGTTTTTTTCGTGCCATGGCGTAGTAATACACAATTTAGTTGTTGTCATAGGTGGTCATAGGTGTGTATATATGGTGGATTTTACAACAGCTTCAACCGCGGCTCAGCCAATCAGATTTTAGGACTTATCCGTTTTATAATCGGTTTTAAAGACTGGGGAAGGCACTCTGATGATGTACCTTGAAGGAAGGCGATAAGTTTAGGGTGGATACATGAGGGCAGGCTGTCTGAAATGTTTTATTTTCATCTTGCTAGCTGGCTAATGTAGAGAGAAGCCAGATAGCTGACGACATTGCTTGGAAGCCAAGCATCATGTCAGTACTGATAGCCTCTGCTGGCAGTCAGAATTTCTCTAATACTTTGAGAGGATTCCCAATGGTGTATGGAGTAACATATTTACGCGTTTTGAGTATTGTAGCTAGTGAGAGGGCAGTAATGGATTAAAAAATAAAAAGCACAAAATTAAGATTTCCGTCAAACCAACACGCTACAGAATGCAATACTGTTTTACAAAATACTAGCTACATAACGCGACATAGTAAATGCTAGGAATGCTAGGCCGGAATGCCCCTTAACATGTTTTTAGCAACATGGCCCTAACAAAACATGGCACCCTATCGAAAGCCTGTCGTCTTAGCCAAGATCCCACCTGCGATTTGGTTTACCTTTACGAGATGACATGAGTTTATCTGCTTTTTCATTCCTGTTGAATTTCATTTTCTTCTTGTGGTAACAGAACCTGGACCTCTTTGTTATTCCTCACACCTCTCACACTTTGAGTCGTAACCTTTTATTTTTATGCCTAAATTATACTAAATAATAGTGCCTAATAAACTTAATCTTCAATGCTGTGCTGAATGTATGTTCCGCTCAGTTCTAATTTCTGAGTAGGTTTTTGGCCTGATACTTTTTCAGTTCTACTAAAGTTGTTGTCTTTTTTGGTAGACAAGTCTGCTTTTCATGTTACTTGAGTCGTTGTTCCATTCAACAAGACATTAATTGGAGTGTGATTTGCCGGAATACGGGTGGGGAAAACACAGGCACGATCATTTCGCTGCTCCCCCTGTAGGTGGCGCTTTAAGCTCAGGTTTGGCTCAGTTCTCAACGGCGCGAGCAATTTCCTATGTTGTTGTTTAGAACAATCTGCTTTGATTAATCATTTTCATCAGCATGAAGCAACTTTCATTTGCTCTAATGGCCTTTAAGAGCTAGAGAGATTGATTGCTCACCGGTGTGCACGGATGAGACGAATCAGCAGAAGGGCATGCAGGTAAAAATGCCTGGTTGGTGAGATTTAATCTCACCAACCAGTAGATGGTGGTATATACATTGCCATGTGAATTCCTCATACAAGACGAAAGTGAGCGTCTGGTAATGGCTGCATAATTTCATCTCAACTTTTCAACTTTTTAATGTGTTTGTGTATTTTGTAACAGTATGTGTGGGTGTATTTATCAGCATTTATTGTAGTATTTATTAAATAAAAATTTACAGAGAATTTACAGAGTTAATACAGAGACAAATTCATGGGCACAAATGATTTTTCAATTAATGTTGGTAATTTACATAACGTCACAAAACTGTGAGATAATGGGGCGAGAGATGACAATATATATATGTCACTGACACATCAGACTGCTGGTGCACACCTTCATTACTCAGCACCCCACTTTCCGCACCCCTGGAGGAATTTCACTGCATTTCTCTGCATAATTTCACCATTGAAATATAGGCCCAATCCCATTTCTTCTTTTTACCCCTACCCCTTGTTTTCGAGTGTCACCCTAACCCCTTGGGACTGAGTTACAAGGGGTAGTGGTTGAAATCTTGACCTACGAAATGGGACAACCCTCAAATAAATTAAAAAAAAAAAAACATTGCTTCATTAATAGCCTAGTAGCGTTGCTCTGTAGGCGACCCGGTCCGTCTTCAGTGATAGCGATTTGTTCGAATTTTCCCGTTCCACCTTAAATGGTGCCGCCGTTACATTCTGGCGCTACAAGCATCAAGACTGCTGGACTATTTAAGATGGAACGGGAAAGTTAGCTAGCTAGCTACCGTGACATTAGCATACTATCAGCGATTTTTTATGCTTGTTATGAAGAAAAAGACCATAATACACTGAAACGCCATTAAACTAAGATAATACAATGGTTATCGTAAACGGAAAAATACTTACATTTGTGGGTTTCTTTGGTCGCTTGCGCAGCCATCTTGCCGCGTTTTCTTTTTTTGTCATACCACTCTGGAGTGTGCCTCTGAAAATCCTCCGTTTGGAGGGCCGTGTAGCCCTAACACCTCGTCCTACTCCTCTATCTATCTCAACAAAAATTGGGACACCCTTACCCTAGACGTGAACGCGCAAAAGGGCTAAGGGCTAAGTGCTAGGGGCAAAGGGTGAAAAGGGATTGGGCCATAAACTAAACTGTACCTCTCTACCGTTAACAGATGTTAAGAAATGCCAAAAGGCCAAAAATGTATCTCAAAACTATCGCACAGCAATGTCAGGCAGTATATTCCTTAACCCCTTCAATGGCCAGGGCTCACTTTATTATACACTTCTATAACATAAGAATAGCTCAGCCAGTTTGCATTGAAGTCCCTGTAGTTACTGAATAATAAGCTTTCATGTGTAGTAAGCCTGGGATTAAAAGGGGTAAATTTCATGTAATAATTTTCTGTGAGGCAGCTTTTACAAGTACATTACACCTCAGATCAAACCACTCTGAAAGACTTTGTTCTCATCGTAACCGTTAAATTATGCAGTAACATAAACATATCAGTGTAATTTCCCTCATACATGTAACTGTTTTACTAAAATAAATATGACTAATACTGTTAAAAGGCTACAACTACAACAACAAAAACTACTACTACTATTACTACTACTACTACTACTAATAGTAATAAAGTGAAGTAAAGCAGTGAAGAAACTTTAGTCGCTGTCCTTGGTGCTGATCCATTGATTAATAGTCAAATAAGTGATGGTTATTTCAACTTCCATTTAGGCTTTTCAGTTTACTGTGTGCCCACAAAATTGTCACCTCTTATAAAGAGTGGGTTTTATCATTTGCTAACAAAATGACAGTGACTTGTAAGTGATTCGTTTAAAGTCAAATAACAGATATAATGCTTATAACACCATAACATATAGCTTACATGTATTTGCTATTATTTACTGTGTATGTTTAAAGCCAAATCATTAGAATTCTTTGGCAATCATCTCAAAAAAAATTTTGTGAAAAATGAGGCTGGAAGGTTTCATTGTTGACAGCAACAAGCTGTCAGCCTGCTTGAAAGTATTCAGCCTGAAGGCTTCTATATATATGCTATGTATGGAGATTATATATAATGTCCATACATAGCATACCCATAGAAGTATCCAGGCTGAATGCTTGTTTGGTTATGATTGTTTTCCTCTTGAGTATTGAGCGCAATTGTCCACCTACCCAACCCAACATGGAAAAACATGGCAGTCAGCTACCTTTACCTGGTACAATTATCATACAATCCTAAAATACATTAAGACAGACTCATCATTTGGTCAGAAAGAAAAAGGTACAATAAAAGAAAGTGAGTGAACGACAGATAGAGCACAATGTATATCCCTCAGTGCAAGTGTGATCATGCATGCTGGAAGAGCAGTCCACCAGAGAATTGCTACAAAAGGGATGCACTTCTCAATTTGCATCTTTTCAGGGTCTGATTGTTGCTGTTAG